CGATCCGCCGCCGTTCCCGCCAACCTGCACCTTTCTGTGTCCATGGACCGTGAGAAGGATCAAGTACGACCGATCGTGTTCTCCGCTTCAAGAGTGTCTATTTACGACACTTTTTTTTTTTCTTTCCCGCAAGGCTCTGGTGTCCTTGTTGAAAGGCGATCGCTTCGGCTGCCTGGATTCGGTCATCGTCTACTGCACCAGGAGGGAGGAGACCGCTCGCGTGGCTGCGCTTCTGAGGACCTGCCTGCAGGGGACGCTGCTGAAAGAAAATAAAGAGATCAGCAATAGCCAAGCACAAGTCAACCCCGTGGGGCAAAAGAAGAAAGAACTTGGTGAGCCGCTAGTTCGTTTTGGCTACATTGGCGGCCTGTTTAGGCAGCAAATGAGTTGGGCCTGGATAACATCTGCATTGCGGTGGGTGGTTGCTGTGAAGCCGCAAGATTAATTTTTGCCTCAAATGCTTGAAGATGGTGTGATTCCGCAACAGAAAATGCAATCTCCCCCCAAAAAGTCATCTGCCTCGGTTTAAATTTTCCCAGCAAGGAAGAAGATTCGCAAACCCCTGAAGTGGCAGGCTGAGTCGTACCATGCCGGCCTCTCGGGATCGGAACGGCGCCGGGTTCAGAACAACTTCATGTGCGGCGAGCTCCGGATCGTGGTGGCCACCGTGGCGTTTGGCATGGGCCTGGACAAGTCTGACGTGCGGGGCATCATTCATTACAACATGCCCAAGGTGCGCAGTCGACTTCCCACACAGTAGTTTGACACAAAGTACTCGAAGTGACTTCCTGTTACTGTCTTTCTGCACCTGAGCGTCACATTATTTCTTCAGAGCTTTGAGAGTTACGTCCAAGAAATTGGGAGAGCAGGGAGAGATGGCGAACCGGCACACTGTCACCTCTTTCTTGATCCCGAAGTAAGACTGCAACTGGAATTTGAACTCGCACACCGCAATTTTCGCTACACTTAGACATTCAAGAAATAACGCCGCTTTCGCTTCATCGTGATGGATAATCAATCTTTACGCGTAGGGTATGGACCTGCACGAGCTGCGGCGTCACATCTATTCCGACACGGTGGACTACTACACGGTGAAGCGGCTGGTCCAGAAAGTGTTCCCGCCATGCAAATGCAGACAGATTCAGCGGAAACAGCAGCAACTAATCCGGGTAAAAAGGCCCACGTTACGTGTGTATCGCCGCGAGCAGATGGACACGCACCTCACATGCGATGATTGATACGTCTTCTGTCAAGGAGGACGTCAGCGATGCCGAGATGATGGAGATCTACGATCGGGAAACCGGTCGCGACATACCCGCCCGGCAGGAGATGGTACATTCTGCAGACAACGGTCATAAAATGGACAATATGGATGCGAAAGAAGTCAGCGTGGAGGTTGTGGGTGACCAGGAAGTAGAGAGCTCCTCTGAGTGGCCCGTGGAAAGACTGTGTCACACTCATGAGAGAGCCATGCCCATCCAGGAGACGGTAGAGACCCTGGACATCACAGAAGAAGGTAGTCAGTTGCACACGTTCATTCGACCGCACGTTTAGGCTGCAGACTAGTTGGGCTCGAGTTACGGAATTCCTCTGCTGGTCGCTGCCAAGGAGTGATGTTCCCCTTTTGCCTCTATTGCTTCAAGATGTAGCGACGATGCAACATAACATGTACTTTTACTAACGGTCCCGATTCCTTTGGCAGCCCATTTAGGCAGAAAATGTGTTTGAAAATTTTCAAAAAAACCCGGACGTGTGCCTGTGCCTTCTGCTGCTTGTTCCACAAGTAATGAGATGATTTTTCTTCCTCATTGCTTCTGGTGTATTGACTACACAATCACGTTTTTAACGACCATATTGAGTCATTTTGCAACCTGTTGGTTCAGGCGGGAAACGAGTTGGGTCGAAACGATTTGCACCTTCTAATAGTTTCTGCCAAGTAGTGAGATTTATTTATTTTTTTTTACACTTACTGCCTCAAGATGTCATGGCCAGACAGCAGAACATCAGCTTTCACTACCCGTCATGATTCCTTCAGCAGCCCGTTCAGGCGGTAAATCTATGTATCATACATACTCTTGACATGCATATTTTTGTGTGTGTGTGTGTGCATGTGTGTGTTTTGTTATGTTAATTTTTTTTCAGGTATTGAGACACTTCTCTGCTATCTGGAGCTACATCCACAGCGCTTTGTGGAGCTTCTCCACCCCACGCTCTCCGTGTGCAAAGTCAGCTGCTACGACGGACCCAAACAGCTGCGGAAAATCACCAAAATGTAACACACGTCACTCAGCTTTCCACCCGCGTTCCGACTCTACTGTGTCAAATACTGAAGAAGACGTGTGACTTTGCAGCTGCCCGCCCGTCGCTGTAGTGTTGGCCCGTATGCGCATGGCAGGCGAGGGGGTGGAGTCGTGCAGCCAGCTGGAGTTTGACGTGGTGGAGGTCGCCGACATGATGGGATGGCAGCTCCCATTGGTCAAAAGGGGGCTCAGGCAGCTGCAGTGGAGCACGGGTAAAGGTGCTTTGACGCTCAAGTTGTGTTACAAGATTAAATGAGCATATACGTGTGTGAATTTTGCTTGTACCTTGTTGTTGAACTATGCTCGCTCTTTATGTGCAGCTGGCGGGCGGAGTGGCGTCCTTGTGGAATTCTCTTCCCTGTCCTTCTACTTCCGCTCCTACGGCGACCTTTGCGACGAGGAACTGGACAAGGTGTGCCGGTTCCTGCATAAGCGCGTGCAGGACCGCGAGAGGTCGCAGCTCTACCAGCTGAGCGCCTGCTTCAAGGCCTTCAAAAGGTAGACCTTCACGAATCTGTTCTGGGAGCAAGCTAGTCGGGCCTGAATTATTTGCGCCCTCTGCTGGTCACTGCTATGTACTGAAAGCAATTTTTGACACCTATTGCCTCACGTTGTTGTGACTACACAGCTTAAAATACTTTTACTACCTGTCTCAAGTACATTTGCAGCAAATGTATACATTCTTTTGTCACCAGTGTGTCCTTCAAGAGCGTGCTTTCCTGCTTGGACAACTTGGACGACGGACCCAGTCTCCGGTTGAAGGACCTTCTGTCAGACTACTTTGACAAACGGCGGGAAAGAGACCTCACTCTGGAACCACTGGAACCAGATGACAGCCTGCAGCAGTACAAGGTGACACAAACCACTATGCTGATGTTCTAAACTATGATTTGGATAATTATTATTTATTTTTATTTTTTGGGGGTAGCTCTTGGACTGGGAGAATCAGATCCGAGCAGACATAAGGAGCTTCCTGTCCAACAGAAGTGACGAGAAGTTCTCAGGAAGAGCTGTTGCTCGAATCCTTCATGGCATCGGTGAGACATTACTTTCTAGATGTTTGTTTGGTTTTATTCCAGCATTAAAAAAAATAAAAATAAATCGGGGCAAATCAGCCATTCAACAAGGCTGGAAAGGCCTGACCATGTTCTATCCACTAGATGGCGCCATACAGTAAGTAAAGATTCCTTGCTTGGTAACTAACTCTAGTGGCGATTTGGTGGTCAGCCAGAGGAAGTGAATACTCATTACAATAAATGTAAATAAAATTCAAATGAAATGCTTGAAGATGTTTTTTTTTTTTTTTAGGTAGTCCGTGTTACTTTTATTCCAGCATTAAAAAAAATAAAAATAAATCGGGGCAAATCAGCCATTCAACAAGGCTGGAAAGGCCTGACCATGTTCTATCCACTAGATGGCGCCATACAGTAAGTAAAGATTCCTTGCTTGGTAACTAACTCTAGTGGCGATTTGGTGGTCAGCCAGAGGAAGTGAATACTCATTACAATAAATGTAAATAAAATTCAAATGAAATGCTTGAAGATGTTTTTTTTTTTTTTAGGTAGTCCGTGTTACCCCGCCCAAATGTACGGCAGAGACCGACGCTACTGGCGCAAGTACATCCAGTTTGACTTCAACCAGCTCATCAAGCTGGCCACTCAGGAGATCATTCAATTCAAGTAAAACATAGCCCGTTTTTTTGTTGTTGTTGTTTTAATTGAATTTCAGTTTGTTTCTTTGTATATGAATAAAATTATTTTTCTAAGGTCGCTGGTTTTGATTGATAAAATATCCAAACAAAAGGACTCCTGGGAACGAAGAACAACAATCTGCCGTCTTGCCCAGAACCAGGACCCTTTTATCCCGTTATTGACTCAGGAGGCAAACATTGACCTGTGCCATAAATTCAAACGGGGGAATGTCCTCCGTTTCCTCATTGTTAATGTTTATTCGATCTACCCTCCTCAATGAGGTCAGGCTGACCTCATTACATGCCTGTACACGCCCCACTAATATTGCACTCCTGGGTTGTGATCATATAAAAAGGGTAAAACAAACAATATTCTAGGCAGGACACAGTCATCAACATCAGTCAGCGAACTTCGGTGCAACATTTGGGCTTCCAGGCTCAGCCCGCCAACGTGTGCTTTGTCATTAAAGTGAGTGCAAAGGGGACACCGTCACCACTTGTGTGGTGTGCAGAGTATACATTATGTGTGTAATGACTTGTCACTGGACTCTGGCCCTAATGAAGATGTTCACATAAACTCCGCAGATTAGATGAGGCTGATGATTAAAAAAAACAAAAAAAATCTTTGCCAGCCAGTTTGAGGATGCAGTCTATTTTTTTAGAAACCTTTGATTAAAGTTGAATAAACGAAATGAACAAAAACAAATATGAATTATGAAGTAAAGCAATTTAAAAGGTACACAGAGCTAATGCAGATGAAATATATTTTCTCAAATAAATACACACGATGACATATAATAAAGTAAATTCATTGGAAAGATACAGTGGTTCTAAAAGGCCGATGCATCCCCTCTTCAAATGTCATGTTTTTAAGATTACAAAGAGAAACTTTCAAACGTATTCCACCATTAATGTTCTATAAACTGCAAAACAATTCCCCCCAAATTATTTCCCGAGTGGCAATAAGAAAGTTTTTGCACTTCAAAGTAAATAAAGGTGCCAAAAAGCAGTCTTGTGCAAGCAGATTTATTATTCAAACTGCTGAAATATACAAAATCTATACGTAGACTATCATTAACACTTATTTACATTTACCATGAGGGAAATTTTGTGATGAGCCTAAATAACTACTTTTTTTTTTTTGTCACTCTTGTGATACAAAATAACCTAAACACACACACACACACACAGACACACACACACACACACACACACACACACAAACTGCAGTTATATAAATCTTGTGCATCAAGAATAACCTCTGTGCATTTTACAATCAAATTGAAGGTGAGTTTAGCTTGCTGTCATGTGGCTATGAAGTCACTTAGATGGTAAAAATTCAGTGTGTAGTTGTGTGTTCAAAGTCCCTTTTCAGCAACTTTATTTGTTCATAAAATCAGGGGATCACACTGCCGTGCAAAATCTTGGGTCACACATTTTTGTATTCTAAGAATCCGCAACCAGTCATCATGATGCCCCATTTGCTTGGATTACATTTTTGTATCTTGTACAAAATAGTTTATTTTTGCATACGGTGTCTATGAAATTTCTTTGGCTTTTTTTTTCTCTCTCTCCCTACCACACATTTAACATCCTGGAAAAGGATTCATCCCTCACGTGTTAAGACCAAAGCTGGTCGAGGAACGCTAGAAGCTGATGCTCTCCTCGTAGAGGGATAAAAGCAGGAGGACGGCCCAACCGCAAAGCAGGCCAACGTTCTGCAGTGCGAATATCAGCCACGGCCTCTTGGATTTGATGTGCATCATGGTGGGTAACTGGAGTGGGGAACAACACCAAAAATGGTCCCTTTTTTTAATTTTTTTTATATAGACATTTTTTGGACATACATCCCTTCCTCATTTGTTTCAATGTATACTGTATATACTCTATCCACTTTACTCATTCACTCCCAAAGACGTTTTTAAACTTCTTTTCAGACTTGGTCCAGAATTGGCTGCTACTGAATGAGTTAAAGGATTCCACAGTACAGTACTTAAGAAGTAGGACCACTCACCATATCAGCCAAGCCCACATAGAGAAAAAGGCCCGCGGTGATGGTGGCAATCCACTGCGTGGTGGCCAGGTCGGTAGCCACGCTCAGGGCAATGTAGAGGCCCACGAAAGACGTCATGGCGCTGCCGACGTTAAAAAGCAGCGCCCGGCGCACTGACATGCCACAGTTGAGCAAGATGGCGAAATCGCCTTAGGGCACAAAAGTGTTCAAATGAACAATCGGACAGCTATTTTGTAGCAATGGGTTTGATTCCTGCAATTCGCCTGAGCCTGGAATGCTAATCATCGCAAAAGCCGTCATCATGTACAAGAAATTTTAATAATGTGCAACTTGTTTGCAACATACTGGAAGATGCAGGGGCGGACATACCTCAGTAGGTACTGCTGTTTTTTGTCTTTGCAACAGAGTTGAAATTGGGAGTGTGTATGTGTCACCTAGCTCGTGGGGCAGCTCGTGGCAGAGGACAGCCAGTGTCGTGGCCAGTCCGGATTTCCATGAGAGCGAGAAGGCGGCGCCCATCGCCAGGCCGTCGGCGAAGTTGTGGATGCCGTCCCCTATCGTGACCATGTAAGGGAGCAACCGATGTTCTGTGCAAGGACACAGCTCTTATGTTAGTTAGCAATTAACATAATTAGAGGTGGACTCCCGTATCTTTGTAATTCCAGGTATTTGCTGTTTATGGTTTTAATAAAAGGAAAAATGGCACTGTGCTCCTTGAGAAAATAAAAAAAGAAAGCACAAATTTGTGGCTAGTGTATATGCGGGGGATTACGACAAAATCTTACCTCTGGTCCTCTCTGTGGGCATGTGAAAATCTCTTTCGTGCTGCTCCTCCTCTCTGACCTTGACACGTCATCATAATCACCGTCACCATGATATCAGTGGACCTCGAATGTGCAACAGTTCTTACCAGGTCCGTTTTGGAAGTTGAGTGCAATTTGTCTTTTTGTTTCCTCTCCTGGTGATACATCTCGAGAACTCGGTCGTGGTCACAGTGGTGACCTTCGGATTCATCCTTGAACGTTCATCACAAAGGATTATGAAATGTTTTTGGGAGGAAAAAACAAACAAACCTCCCATTCAGTACACCTGCGCAATCTAATCACATTCAGTGCAAGAGCTGTCAGTTCAAATACTGTATATCCAGCTCTTGCTTTGGGTTCAGCCTGGTGTACCTAATGGAGTGTCCAGTTGCTTTTTTCTTTTGCTCACCCCGTGGTGGTTATGTCCTTGCGTGATGATGTTGAAGACGGTTTCCATCAGGTAGAATAAATAAATGCCGCTCAGCACCACCAGCATCTTGTACACGTAGTCCGACACCTCCAGCTGGTGGTCATGGCCGCCGTGGCGGCTGTGGTGGCTTGCACCGGCTTCGTCCAAGTGGTGGACGTGCAGGCCCAGAAACTACGCGCAGTAGGAAATGAGTGCGTTGCGCATTGATCAACGATTCCCAATGTAACATCTTGAATGAAAAGCACTCGGGTTCTATACTGTTTGTGACATTTTGGATTGCTGGTGTGCTAAAGGTGATGAAGCCGAGATAATGACGGCTCACCATGGGCAGCAGGTGCAGCAAAGCGTCCCCCGTGAGCGAACCCACGGCCAGGCTGATGCAGAACTGGATGCACAGCTGGAAGACGCTGGTGCACGACGTGCAGAGCAGCAGCACGATGCCGAACATGGATATCAGCGTGATGACCACGTTGGCCAGAGTTGCGTACAGGTATCCTGGGTCACATGCACACGAGGGCGTCAAGGGCAAACAGTCAATAATCTACTGGAAGGCCAATGAAGTCGACACATAATCATCAACGGGCAATAAGACTCCACCTTAATTTTTAACCGATAGACTGTTTAGCGGTAGACGTTTTGATAGGTGTTGCTGTATTGGTTGTCAACGGCATTCAAATGGGCCCAGCTGTTAACTCTTATGAGTGTGTGTGAAGGGTCCAGGCGAGAGAGCGCTTACTCTCCGTTTTGCTGAGCTGGTCGTGTTTCGCCGGGTGCGAGCTGATGCAGGCCCCGCTCAGGATCTGCTGGATCAGCGCCGGGCTAAGTCGAGCCAGGTCAGAGCGACCCAGCCTGGGCGAGTTCACACCCAGGCCGTGGATGAGTACCAGCTCGTGCGCGGAAAAACAGTGCTAGGAGAAAATCGCGACAATCCTGTTATTTTTCAAATGCTCCTAAAATGTTGTCACGTGACTTTCAATGACGTCTTCACCTCCTCCCAGGTGCCATTGCTTTCGGAATGTCGCCGTCGCCTGCTGTGATCGTGATGAGCATGCTCGTCCTCGTCGTGCCCGTGGCTCAACTCCAAGTTGGGTCCGATGTCCAGAGACCTCATGACAGCCTCCAACTCTACAAAGTCCAGACAATGTTCAACTTTTTCCTCTCAAGTCAAGCCACGTCACGAGTGACTTGAGTTCCTTTTATTTTATTCTTTTTTTTTTTTTTTTTTTTTTTTTACCTGCGATAGTGAAATTCTCAGAGCCCAGTCGGTGGATGATGTAATCCAGGAAGAAGCTCTCGTCGGGGAGTGATTGGAAGCAATGACCTCGCAGGGCATGATACAAGAGCTGGCCCAGCACTGCACCCGCCGCTTGTGTCTGCTCTGCTGATGGGGCGCCGACCTCCGACATGATGTCGCTTGTTGTGATGCAGCTCTAGTTATCGATGGTGATTAGAAGAAAAAAGAAAAAAAAAAGTGATCTTTGGTGACTTCATTTAATCATTCAAACCCACACATGATTTAACAGCTAGAAACTCCAGGCAGAGGCCACAATGTTCCGAGACGATGGCCTGCCAGCATTGCTTAGCTCAAAAATGAATTTTAAAGTGTCTAAGATGAGTTGAACCTTGAACCCTTTGGTCAGAGATCACATCTTCAGTCAAACCACGATGATTCATCAGCTCATTGATCCAAGGGGAGATCCCAGTGTGGCGAAAAGACCTTCAAATCACCCTCCTGCATGTCACAACCTCTTGGCTAATGGGCTGGAACATTTTTATCAAGAATTGCTTTTCATGTATCTGAGCTGAAATCAAACCTTTGGCCCTTGGGTCCCAGGCTGCATCATAACCCAAACAAACATAGCTAGCTCAAAATAATTCAACAAGCGCACGCTCCGGTCTGGACGGAGCATTGCTCACAGACTGGTTCAAAGTGCCAAATCTGTCACGACAGCCTGGTTAGCACGAGATGACCAAACATAAGCGAATATTTTTTTCCCCACTGACCTCAACGTCTGATGACTCATAGTGCTTGAGGAGTTCTCTGAGCACTTTTTCTAATCCAGGGAGGCCCACTTGCCGATGTTCAAGGCCGTGGCATGACTGGCCCACCTCCGCTTCCTCCTCCTCTTCATGGTGATGTTCATGGGAATGTCCACTTGCAATCTCATGCAGGAAGTGTTCCACCTCCTGCCCCCACCTGCCCTGGCTCGCCGCAGCGCACACCATGTCAGGAGAGGCCAGGTACAGGACGCAGCCGGCGGCGAGGGCGCTAAATTCCACCACGTCGACGGCATGGTCTTCCTCGCCTGCCTGCCGATGGTCGCTGTGATTGTGGACGAGCTGGTGGACGGCCTCTGATAGGTTGCACTGGAGTGAAAAACACATGATTTCAACTTAGACGATATGGTGCGAGTACTTTTGCCACTTCTAGTTATAAAAATAGAATCCGCTTTATGTACGATGGTAACTAATTCTGTTGCTTACATTGAAATTGAACTTTTGATGAGATACATTCACACAACAGGCTTTTTTCAAGGGTAACAATTTTGCTGATACTGTGTTACGTCACTATTTAGGTCAGTTAACTTATTGATTCAGTGTACCTTTCTCAAGGGTTTGAATCGACTGTATTAAGTGCTTATCACCCACAAGCCAAACAATGTTTCCTTTTATTTCTGCCAGGGGGACACAATCCATCACACACTTTTCTTTAACTGCGCCCACACTGTGACATGCAGCAAGTTCAAGGACTTTTGACATGCTGATAATGACGCTAACACCTCATTGACATTGACCGAAGTAAGATATTTTCTTCCCAGTACCACAGGGTGGTAAAACTACAGTCTGTGGGCCAGTTCGGACCCTGTGTGCATTGATTCTGCCCACAATGCAATTAATGTATAAATAGGATACTTTTCCTTTACTTTGACAATGAAATAAAATAAATATTTTACACTTAACATTTTGTGAGTTTAATCATTAATACACGAGTAGGATTATTATTGCTGTTAACATTTTGTTACTTCAATGAAGAAATTACATTCAAATGTTTTCTTTCAATGACATTATTTTAATTGGTTACTTTAATGGGATAGTTAAGATTAACAAAAAAGAAAAAAATAAGGAATCTAAATACAGCATACAGTATGTATCATCATTATGTAATACTGTAAAATATTTGAATTTATGTATATATTTTTTTTAATGTCCAATAAACGTCAGAGGTAAAAACGTTTGATTTCAAATTGATTCAATAAAATGTTTTTTTTTTCTAGCATGAACTTGGGGAAAAAAAATTATTTAAGCTATTATCAGTAGTTGTTATCTCATTATCAGCGCGTTGACACTTTTTGGACCTCGAACCCTTAGCATCACCCTGAGACGTGCGTACTTTCTCCCCTGTCTGCGCGAGCTGGCAGCTCACCCAAAAAAAAAAAAAAAAAAAAAAAAAAACTACGTACCTTTCCACACGGCACTTGTCCACACTGCACACGGTTCTCCAGTGTATTAAAGAGAGCGACCAGAGACTTCTCATCCAGAAGCGAGTGCTGCTGCCCGGGGCGCAGCAGGTTCACTACGGCTCCATACGCCTCCTCTACGGCGGGACACACCGATGAGCCATCGAGCGCACACCAGCTTGACAGCGCCGAGAGAACGAGCAGAGTTTGGCGAAACGTTTGCATTTTAGCTGAGTCTGGGTGTTAAATCTACAAAAACGTGAACTGGTGGCGGTTGATCCGGTTATGCCGGATTTCTGGACCAAACTTGCACTGTCAAGATGCTGCTGCCGGACTTTATTAGACTTGAGGCGCCTCTGGATTGTGATTGGCTGAGAGGTTCTGAGCGCAGTCCTGTTAAATGCTAAAGTGTTACTACCTGAGGCCCCCTCACACGCACACGCACGCGCTAAACCATTTCCACCAGGGACGTGCGGTCAGGGCAGCCAGGGGGCAATGGCGCCCCCCGCTGTCTGAAAAATAGAAAGGGAAAAAACTCAGGATTACATAAAATTCATGTTCATTTCAGTTGTATGGTTCGTGCTTTACAATCATTTTCAGTGATCAGCAATGATTTCATCATTAGCATAAGTTGATTAAACTGGGTGATTAAAGTCTACGTACACTGTTCAAATGCTAAGTATTTCTGAAAAAGAAGTCATTTCCAAACTTTTTCCGACATTCATGTGACCTAAGCACAACTAAATTGAAAAAAAATTTGTGAGATGAAGTAAACAAACAACTTAGTTGTGGTTGCACAAGTGCGCACACCCTCTTAACTCAGGATGACGACACGGTGAGGGCACGAAACAAATGGAAAAACGGTTCGTAAATTTTTAGTTCCGGAAGTTGTCACCGACAGCATTTCTCATACTGACCATGAGATGGCGAAAACGTGGCGCCTGGAAACGATGCTGTGGTCGGAAACGAGCCATCAGCAATCTGAATTCCCCAAATTCATACACACGTGGAGAAAATTATTGGTACCTCTCTGTTAATGAAAGAAAGAGCAAAATAATACAGTATATAATAAATGCATTTGCCTTCCTTTTAGAAATAAACTGTTTTTACACTTTCCCTCACTTGTTCCAGACAACGAACCATCAAAATCAAACTGTATTTCAATTTTGGTGTTTCTAGGGTAAAACGAAAATTAAATGACGAGTCAGTTTCTATTCTTAATATCCCCTTGCAAACCAATTACCAAAAGAGACACGGAACGAATACATACACCAAAGGGGACGCAAATGCGACGTCGTGAGCCACTCAGAGCATCAGGACCACTCAGCGGTGCAATGACTCTACTTGATGGACATATACAATGCAAGTTAAACATCGGTACTGTAATTATATATGCGAAAAAATAAATTTGAGATAAATTTAACTTAACTGTAAAAATGTCATACTGACGGCAAACAAATCCATCACATGTCAAATATGAGTGAATGTAAATGTATTGAGATGATTGGCTACACACAGACATGCATGCATGTGCGCACACACTCGTTTGCTGCTGGCATGGGACTCTGGACATCTGCCTGGGATCTCTTCCACACACACGCACACGCGCACACACACACACACACACACACACACACACCACACATCCACACACACACACACACACACACACACACACACACACACACACACACACACACACACACACACACACACACACACACACTAATCCTCAAAGTGTCCAGTGACCTGTTTTCACTGCCCCATTGTTGTGTGTCACTCCCGGTTAGCTCGTTGTCATACAAACCTGTGGATGTTCTCAACACACACATTCATCAAGTCTCCCCTTGACACATCACTAATGCAGGAACTTGGTGTGAAACAGCCAGCCTCTCTGAACACTCAATTGGGCTGTGTAAAAAAATAAAATAAAATAAAAAAAAGACTGGCAATGAAGGGTCAAAGTAAGATGTCAATTTTAGGCGTTGGAGGTTTGGACAATGCTGCTTTCAATCTGCGTTTTTCTCCAGGATTGCTGTTCTGTCTAAATGGTCCAGACATGGTATGCCATTAAAAGGAGACGGGATGACACCTTCTTCAGCCCCTTTCTAACTGCCTGTTAAAAAAAAAAAAAAAAAAAAAGCATTTTTCCGGCACTTTTCCCCAACATCTGTCTGAACGGAGACTATGAAGTCAACTTCAAAATTTTACATCTCCCAGGATAGTACCAGGCTGGACACCGAAGACTTGCGAGAGGAAAGATAGTCAACATGTGTTGCGCACTGTTTCCAATCGGTGAAGATTGAATTTTCCACCGCAAAGCATTTTCTTTTAAAAGGAAAAACTCGAGGGTCTTGAACGCTACTCTTATTGGACTACTCCCCCTGCCCCATTCGCACTCGCCGCCTGGGCTCAGCCCTACTTTTCTTTCCCCGCCTGATCTTTCCATTACAGGAATAAAAGCATGACGCCTAATCCATTTATGTGTTCCTTGGACGAAATGCTCGCACACACACACACGGAGACAGAAAACACAAAATTCATGCATGTTGCATGTGAACTGCAGGCTACATTTATTCACTGTCTCTTTGTAACGCACACACACAGACGCACGCACGCACGCACGCACGCACGCACGCACGCACGCACGCACACACACACACACACACACACACACACACACACACACACACACACACACACACACACACACACACACTCTGGTGGTAATCTCCCAAGACAATTTCCCACTGGTCTTTGCTATGGAGTAAAGATACGATGGAATTGAAGTGTTGCCGGGGGGTGCTTGAGTGTGAAGTAAGACATTCAAGAGATCTAATTGTGATGTCTTCAACCTCACCTTGTTTTTTTTTTTTTTTTTTTTTTAAATCATTTCACACCAGGGAAGTCGGTCACACTCCATTTTGTCATGATGAAGATTTAAGGATTTAGTGGTAAGGAAGTGAAGGTAGAGAGGTGGTGGGGAAGGAGGGGGGGGGGTCGAAATAGAGGTCACACTCCCTGGTGTGATTATCGCGCATATTTGAGATCTTACGTGGTTTGTTGCTGTATTTCGTGACATGCCAATATGCCGAATGACATCACGGGGCCGTAACTAACCCTCGAACTCAAACTTAAAACCTCAATTGCCAATACTAACTTTACGATTACTCCAGCCGTGCTCCTAAAGCTAACATTGAAATACACAAAACGTACAAATATGAGAAATGGAGAGAGCTGCATGACTCGGGCTTTTTGGGGGGATATGATAACCACTGTTTTGGGGACTGAAAAAAGGCCAAGGGGGACTTGACGGAGGTGATCGGGGAGGGGGGGGGGGGCTAAGACCAGAAATGAAGACACGTCAGACTCGGCAGGTGTAGTAGCCCACTTAGGCGGTTGGTTCTGTGGCGTCTGTTTTGCTCTTACTTCTTCGAACTTTATGTTATTAGTTGTACTTCATACAAAAGACTACATCTGAAAATAGAAACTGTATATCACGCGTCGTTCATATACTTCTTTCTCAGTGTACTCCAGTGAGCACATTGGACCGTTCTTGTATGTTATTATTTGTGATCAGCTCAAGCCTGGGCTGTGGATTTGCCCCCCACCGGAAAAAAAAAAAAATTGGAAAGACTTACTACATCCAATTGACCTGCGATCCGGCGTGTCTTTTCTCAGCCGGGTGACGGTTCCAGCTGTTCTGGGAGGAGAGAGGTGTGGGTGACTTGCGTGACGACCTGCAGCTGATCTCCGCCCTGACCGGCGTGGGCTGACACAAACGTCCCCTCACTGTTTAATATAGAAAAAAAAAATGTTTACAATGAGGCAGCTCGGTGGTCCAGTGGTTTGCGCGTCAACCTCATAGTGCACAGGCACCAATTCAATTCCAACTCCGGCCTCCCTGTGTGGAGTCTGCATGTTGTCCCCGGGCCTACGTGGGTTTTCTCCGGGTACTCCGGTTTCCTCCCACATTCCAAAAACATGCATGGCAGGCTGATTGAACACCCTAAATTGTCCCTAGGTGTGAGTGTGAGTGTGGATGGTTGTTCGTCTGTGTGTGCCCTGCGATTGGCCGGCAACCAATTCAGGGTGTCCGCCGCCTACTGCCCGAAGACGGCTGGGATAGGCTCCAGCACACCCGTGACCCTTCTGAGGATAAAGCGGATCGGAAAATCGATGGTTGGATGTTTACAATGATCATTTCCAGAGGAACCATAAGGCAGTGGCCAGTATGAACATGATTATGCGAAGCAGGCTTTTTCTTCCTCAGAATCCTTGAAAAATCAGTCATGCAGGCAGGCAGGCGCACACACACACACACACACACACACACACACACACACACACACACACACACACACTTTGGTCAAATGTTAATGATTTACTAATTCCCGGCATTAAATCTCTAGACGTTAAAATTCCTCAAGCTTACAAACGCGGAGCGAGAGGGAGGGTGAGCGTTAAAAGAGCGGGGATAGATGGAGGGGGATGAGAGGGAATTAAAAATGAAGAGAAAAAAAACAGCGCTTCACTTTAAAATAATAATAACCATGTCATGGTCTGATTGCGTTTGTTTTTGTTTTTTTTTCCCCTATAATTTAACTCAGTGGACTGGGGAAATGAGAAGAACGCGGACAGAGGTGGCGTGAACAGGACGAGAAGGTAGGAAAATCCAAGATGGAGATGGGGGTGGGGGGAATGAAGTCAAGGAAAGTAGGAAGAAAATGTAGATTAACGAGGTGGACACTTTCCTATGGTCCAGTCAGCTCCATTTCCTGTTCTATGGTTATAATCATGACACATTTCCTTTGGAAACTAAAAATAAACACACAGAAGCCACATAAAAAGCCATCTGTTGCGGAGTTAGTCAGTCATTTAGATGCTCACTGTGCTGAAGTCTCATGAGATTTGCCGACGTCACGCGCATTGTTTGGCTTTGGGCGCATTTTGGCAGGTCGCCAAATTGTACCACTTTGGCATTACGTTCTGTGTTCATGCATTCCTCACTGACAAATTGAGGAAAATAAAAGTTTTGGGGAAAAAAATAGTGCTGCGATTGGAAGAAAACCAAAACATTTTTTTTAAAATTTTTTTTAACCTTAATAATAATAGAAGTAAATGTTCTCTGGGCATGTAAAATAAATAGATAAAATGCATTTATAAAACAAAAAAAAATACAGTATCTGAATGTCATTTTTTAAAATGTATGTGACAGTGTAAAACAACTGTTATGTAAAATAAAGACGAAAATAAACCCCAAAAATTCCATCAGTGTCAATCCAAACTGAGCATCAGTATCTTTGTAAAGGCAAAATGTTTTTTTTTTTTTTTTGACGACTTGTCTTCAAATTGTCCCCTCCCGGCGAAAACGTACACTCAATTTCATTTGTAAGTGTTACAGAGCAGACTGCAGTGACGATA